CATCGCTATAGCGAGGACGACGCCGATCGGCAAACTCTCGCTCTCAGCCATCACCAGCCTCTCAAAACCATCACTTGGCATCCCCCAGAGGTATAGGAGAAAGCCAAAACAGCTCTCAACAAACAAAAGCTAAGGACGATGGAAAGAGAGCATGTCAAAAAGAAGACGAACAGTATGAGGTTCAAATGGGTTTGAACACTCGTACCACCAACTATACCACTTTCAATAAATCGTGACGCCATTTTGTTTTAACACGCATACGGTCCATTGATTTTAACCAATTCCGTCAATTCTGAAGAGAGGGCGGAATTTCTCTAATTCTGGCGCCAGAATTGCACAGTCGGTGTGTTACCGGTCTGGTCATGACTCAAGGGCGCGAAAGGCCTCCCTGGCCCTGGCCGGCGTACGCGCGATCGATCGCGAGGGTGTACGTGATCTCTTAGGGAGTATCAATGCAGAAGGTGTTGTTTCGCTTGATTCACTAATCTCGGAATTCAGAAAAACAAATAACGAAGTTCTTGATGATAGAATGGCTGCCATAATTAGCCATTGGCGGACTATGGTCGGCCAATCGTCAAATTATGCTTTTGATTATGCCACAATTATAATAATAATAATAATAATAATTTTAATATGGCAATAAGTAGGACGAGCTGAAGCGACATGTGGACTACTTTATCAACAATGTAAGCGATGGAGACAATGCAAGAAACAATCTAAAGGGTAAAGAAAATACATGTAAGAAGAAAAAGGGCAATGGAAAAAAAGATGATTCGAACAAGTTTTCGTACAACACTCTTCAGGAATCACCGTTGTACTAAAGAACAAAATGAGAACAAAGGAAATAATATGGCCCGATATCTGAGACTTTCGACCTTCGGGGCTACGCGGTTTTTTTGAGAAAACACTAAAAACAAATTTGTTCGCAAAAAAATCGATTCCGTCAAAGCAAAGTGCAGAGACGACAATGGCGGAAGAAAATTGAAGGCGATTCTTGTGTCAGCTGGTTATTGGGCTCACGGAGCACAGCAGCCGCGATCCCATGGACGGTGATGCATCGTTCTTTGTGGATATCCTGTCAAGCAGCGACAGCGCTTCTAGTTCTGAGAGCGCATGTCAAGCGAATCGATCGCAAGTGACACGCGGTACTTACCTGTCGGGGGCGACGATGATGAGGACTTGGCCTGGATGAGTATGATCAAGGCCAACCACAGTCTGCCTCAGCGATAGCTGCTACAGCTCCAGGCAAGGACAACCAGGTGGATTCATGAGGGTACGCCGCTTGCAAGGTCGCTGGGCGCCCTTGCGCGAGTGGCAGAACTGTTTCCTGAGTGTCACGCCAGACCTGCTAAAACAGCACGAAATGATGCGAGTTTTCTTTGCGACGATGATCCTAAAATGTTGGGATGGCAAGCTCGATACTCGAGCTAATAATGGCGAATCACACCAACACGGAGCACATGAGGCTGGGCAATCTCGAGTAATATTCTGTTACTTTTGAGTTGGTGGTGTGAAACGCTTGTCAGGCTGTGTTACTGATGTTTGGAAATGGTCAGTCTCCACAAAGTGCAACAAGGCGAATCTGGACGCATTTGCTCTGTTTGACTCCTTCACAATAAGTATGTGAATGCTGTTACATGTATCATGGTGTTCCGTCAAAATCGGCTGCAGACTATCCTGTCAAGCACGTCCATCACCAGGAGAACAGATAAATCACCTCTCCTTCTAATGCTGCTATTGCTGCTGTTGCAACTACACAACCTCAATAAAGTCACGGAATGTTGGAAATGAAGTACCTGAACAGTCAAAACACTTTATTATTAGTTGGCTATTGATATCACGTGGAAACAATTTTTGGTGGCTGCAAACACACTGATCTTTC